TGTTATAAATTTAATTCCCTCATGTTCAATTTCTCTCGAAAACTAAACTTATTTGACATGTTTTTACACGAAATAAACAAATTTTACAAAAAGAAGTATTGTTTTGCCCTGCAAAGCGAAAGTTTAAAATATATTTGTGTTTAAAATATATTTTTATAAAATTTTTATTAATATATAGCCAAAGATATAACTTAAAATACATTAATCTTTATTTTAATAATCTTAGTCGAATTACCCAAGCACTTGGTTAACAAATTATTATTATTTGCAACGTATTTCTGCGTGTTAAACACGAACCGTTGATAAAAGTTGGTTGACGCCAAAATTTTGAAAAAATAGTATTAAAAGGACTCAAAACGTGAAACTCTTATCATGTTTCTCAAAATTGTAATGATAGCTAACTTTTGCCAATTGATTATTCCAAAATATATCGGATTTTCTTCACACTCATATGACAAAAGAAGATTTAACAGTAAAGATAGCAAATGCAATGGAAAGTTTTTATGCAATAGCACGAACATGTTAGGTCAGCAAATTTCCTTTAACCCGAGCCTATTCCTATGCTTATACAAAAATACTATCTATTACGTTTAATATTTTTACTGTTAAATATTTTTTGTAAAAAAAATATTAGAAAAATAGAAAACAAAGTGATATTACTTTTTTAACATTATAAATAATCTAAAAGTAATTTAGTATTACTTTTATAACATTATAAGCTCTTTCTAAAATATATTGACATGTTTATATTGATAATAAAAATACAAAGAATTGTTTTCCAAACAATGAATTTATCTGCATATTTATTTATTTATTTTATTTATCTATATTTATTTATCTATTTATCTATATTTCCACGATTTCAATAGGTAAATTAGAATCTATAATTTGAAATAACAAAAGTATCAAAAAAAAAAGTCACAATCGATGATATACATTTAGTGTGCTTGTAGTTGACATAATATAATAATTTTACCTTATTTTACAAAGAGTTTATTTCCTTTGATTATAAACAAAACATTGAAACAAAAATATAAACTAAATAGTATTTATTATAAAATATAAATACAGAACTACAATAAGATGAACTATTGAAATTATTAATTATCTTTTGATAATTATAAAAAACAATTACTTACCTATGAAATGTTATATCACGATCATGACATTCTGCATTTTACTTTAATTACTGATAATAACAGAATGAACAAATTGAGCAATAAATTGATATAATCGAGAAGAACAAAATACACGATATATTACTCACTATTGCAATCTATATGAATTAATTAATCATGTAATTACAAACTGCAAAAAATAGGATATTTTGAGTCTACGCGCCGATATTGGATCCGATTTGATCTTTTTATTTTTTTTATTTTATTTGTATATTTTTTTTATTTGATTATTTTATATGTAATATAAATTATGAATTAACAGTAGAGCTACAATATAATACGCTGAATAATTATTTTCTTATAAAAACTTCGAAGAAGAGACTGTTAACAATTGACATGCTAAGAGACATTGGCAAACTACCTTGCTATTGTTTAATTTTATAATTTATAATTTGAAATATATATAGCCCAATAAAATGTAAAATAATAAATAATATATTCAAAATCACAATATGTACACATCCTTGTGATAATATTCTCAAGTTTAAAAAGAATAAGGAATATATGTAATTAAATGCTAAAATGTATCTTGAAAACGTTTCGAAATGCTTGCAAGTAAAAATGCGTTATAATAATGGCTGGTTATTGTATATTAACTGCCGAGGCTATTTTGTTTCACTTTCCGTTTACACCAGACAATATCATTCAGAAGGTGCGTTACGAATTACGCATGAAATGCATGATTTATTGTTTTATCCTTCTTTATTAATTGATGAACAACAAAGACAATGATGCATCATGCGCTTAATGCGAAATTCGGAATGCATCCAGAAACTCATGCGCAGTGCGTGAGCTAAAATATGAACAAAAGGTAAAGAGTAAACAAAAAGTTGAGCGCTGATCTGTATAGGTTGACGTGGCGTAAACGAAAAGTCTAGTGCCGGTCCGTAGGGATTAGATCAATGGCCTAGTTTCCACTGAGAGTTTAATCCGGATCAGAATGTAAGAACCAACCAACTACAGTCGAGCATTCCCCTGTCGTTCGATTGTAGTTGGTTGGTTCTTACATTCTGATCCGGATTAAACCTCAATGGAAACTAGGCTAATGTGGCAACGTATTAATATTAGTATATTAGCATTATTATGTAAGGCTAGCTACTGAAAAAATAATTCCATAAATAATCATTAGAATTTATCATCTAATAGTGGCGATATTAAAAAGGACTATTAAGAGGGACTATTATACATTGAACATAATATCATGTTCTCCTTTACATATTATAATTTCAGAATTTATCGATTTTATTACAGAGTATGTTATCATTTTGTAACTTTAAATCGTAATTTTGATTTTTAATATGCATTATTTCTGATAATAAGCGTTTATTAAGATAAATTTCTTTATCAAGGTTTCGTATTATCCCAGTAAAAATTATAAAAAAAGTTTAGACGAAGAACAGTCGTTTTATAGATTTTATAAAATCTATAAAACGACTGTTGTGTCGTGTTTCTTCTAATATGATTCCTCTATTTAATAATTCTTTTTCTTTTTTTTAGTATTCTGCGCGTTTGATCAACATATAATGCTTCATATGTAGTTTTTCCAATTAATTTTGTAGATGACATTTGAGTAAAGAAAACATTTGAGTAAAGTATCTTTATGTACTTTAATGTATTTGTTTAAATTATTCATTTCAACAAAAACTAATTTCAAGTTAGAAACGTTATTAAAAAAATAAAATATAATTAAAATTTCGGCAACATATTTTAGCGACGTAAGTTATAGTAAAATAAATAAATTTAAGAGAAATTTTTCATTATTGAAAATATTTGAAAATTTATTATTGAGATTATTAAGATGGTAAAATTTTGATAATAATCTTCTTTAATGATAGAAAGAGAAATAGTCATTATCTAATAAAATATGAATTATAAAATTGAAAAATTTGTTGCAGATTTTAGAATGTAATAAAAATAATATCAATCAGTATAATAAATATTATCAATTATTTAATGTTATCATGTCCTTTTTTTAAGAATAATAGAGAGTTGAGAGTAAAATTTAAACGATTCAAAAATATCAATTTGTGATATTCAAATATTTGATGGTAATCAAAAGTCAATGATAATCAAATCCATCTCTCTTAAGGATATATGTATTAATATATCTTAAGGATATATTAGACGTAATATCTTAAGGATACATTAAACGTATAGTCTCTGCAAAGAAAATTAAATTTGGAAATATATTTAATATTTATGCTTCAAATAAACTATATACATATAAAAGTTGTGTAAGATTAGATTTTTTGCTTAATAACACATTTTTGTAGTTTATTTATTTTATTTGCTATTATTTTTATTGTTAAGAATTAAAATTTAAAAAATGATAAAAAAATTTACATTTTTTTTTTATAAATACTTTAAATTTCAAAATAATTTATGCAAAGTTTCAATGCAATTCACTAATTAGTTACAAAAAACAAATAAATATTTTGTTTATTTACTAGACAATTAGTTCATGCATCGCAATATAATTTTTTCATATTATTTTTAAACGTGATTTAGAATAATCTGTTATAATTTTTTCATAATTTTGTTACTATTTTGAAAATATGTAAAACATCCTTAATTAAATTTAAATAAAAAAAATTTTAAACCTCAAAACTTGACAGTGAAGTCTAAAATGAACAGAATTAAATTTTTCTAAAAAAAAGTTTTCTTTAAGGTAGAAGTCAGAAGCTACAAACATTACGTCTATACATTCAACATAAAAGGTCAGATTAAATAATAGACTACTGAGAGCTTGTAATTCTATTAGTGCTTATAAAATAAAATCGGCAGCAATAGAAGAAAAAAAATGAAATTCAGCTGTGTTAATTTTTGCCCTTGTATTGTTTTTTTATAATCCTGTCAGCTTAAATTAGCAGCGTTACTATTTTCTTGGAAATGACACATAATATACAATTTTTGATAGTACAAAATAGTACAAATTCAATCTTATTGATTTCTGATATTATATTTCTGTTTTTTTTTATTTTGAATTGGTTCTGTCAGTTTAATATTAAGCTAGCACCGATTTTTTTTGAAAATGTACATGGTACATGGTACAAAATTATTATTAATGATACAATTTAGTACAAAATTCCGATAGA